ATAATACAATATTCTCATATTTCCACCCTGCATCTCACGCATTCATCTCGGTTCCATTCTCCTAATGACGTGTCACTTTCTTGTAAAACTGGATTATCTCTGCTCGAGTCGTATGATCGTTCTAATTGTTTTCTACGTTTCGTTACATTCTTTCCCCTTCGAATGGAAACTTTCCTATGTTCCTTTATAATTCCCTTGTTCTTCTGCGTCTTAATGTTTTCTGAACTATATTTGTGATGTTTGCAAGTTGCCTTATTAGGAAGCAAATTCGTTTTGGAGAAAACCGGATAGAAGAAAGCTAAAAATTCCGTTGAAGGACGGAATAATTAATGTGGTCGAACTCTCCTGGATTAGTATGGCCGGTCTATGCCAGAATTACGGGAGAGGTCGATTTTAATATAAAGTAGAAATGAATATGTACGTACTATATATTGAGGTTACACAGTAATTTTATGCATAATAAAATTCCCTTAACATTAAAATAGTGTAAATAAACTAACCTATCTCTGTTAATTAGTACTAAGAATATATATTATTGAAGAGAGAGAGAGAGAGAGAGAGAGAGAGAGAGAGAGAGAGAGAGAGAGAGAGAGAAACTTTCCGATACGCCTACAGCTTCAAACCGAACTTGCAAGACTGGGATACAGTTTCGCGACAATTGCAATACGTGATCAACAATCAATTTATTAAAGTGTTTTCCGACTTTTTGCACAACGCCATATGGGGTCGTCGTTTCGAGATATTTACACTGTTCGGTCTCTCCCGGACTTATTCTATACATATATACAGGGCGGACCACGCAACGTGATCAGCTTAATTTATTCTGTTGCTAGTGGTCCGATTGGAAACTTTTGGAGCTAACATAGCATGGTTTAAGGAGAGCTTTCAGATGATTGTACCAAATTTTTTATTGACCCTTTTTGCCCCCAAAGTTGTCACGGTCATCTTCAATTTTTCATAGGTTGACCTACAATCTCATCGTTTAGGGGATGCTCGAGAAAGACTAGGTTTACTCATAGAAGACATCGAAGACTGGAAAAAAGGGTTTTTCCAGATTGGTCAAGATTTGATCCAATTTGGTCGAGAAATTTCAGGAAATTCTTTGAGCTGAAATAAACATTGACTATTTAATATGTGTAATTATATATTATATATTTATATTATATTTTTATTATATATTATTATTATTATATATTCTCATTATATATTATATTTTTATATATATAATTATATATATATATATATATTATATAATAATATCTTCGAAAACAAATAAGAATTTATGGCATTGCATATGCATGTACATTCGAAAGTACTTGCTTTGTTACTTTCCACTCGTCATGCTCACACGTTTGCATCATCAAACCCAATAAATCATAGAATATTTCGTAATAGATTTTCACCCACGGTTATTTTACAAACATGACACGAACTCGTTTATCCACGTATCCAATTTATACAATCTTTGTGATCGAGTTATTTATTCTGGTCGTAAAGAAACGTCACACAGCTACATCGTAAACCAACTTCAGCTTGAAAAAGTATACAGTATATAGAAAATTTCGCTGATTGTTTTTTATTTGATTTCGTTTGTTACAGAAATATGATATGTTGCAAGATGGAACATTTGGTGTTACGGAGGAGAGACATTTATTGCATGTTTGATTCATTGCTGCGTACTGTCGTAAATTTTACACATCACAGGGCTCCAACGACAACACACACACACGCACACACCACTCGGAAATGTTATTTCGATCACGCATAAATTTTTTATACCGTCTCTACATCTATAAAACAGCAGGCACGCGAATGGTGCACCTCACGCCGACTTTATCGGTACAAAGTTCATGTATTCTGCATGTTTCTTCCGTTTAATGGAAGTGCATCCAGAGTTTCATACATTTTGCATGCACTCCGATTTACGATGAAAAATAAGTTGCCGCAGGTATCTGTGATAACTGGACTGCGAATTTGATGCATTTATTACTAAAACGACTAGACATCGTTTAAAACGGCGGATATAAAGATATAAAGCATTTCAACATGGTTCTACATTATTTTCAATGGACTGAAATTATACAAGCGAGAGAGATTTTCTCGCGTTCTCGGCTTCTGTTTGTTGCTATTCACAGAGATAATTTTTATTTTGCATAAAGATCCGCGGTCTGGCAATAACAATCTTCCTTGTAACATTTTATTTGTTATTTGAAAGCAGGGGCGAGTAAGGTTAAATGGAACGTCAATGTTTTTCTTAGATATGAGCTGCGAATGAGACGGTAGCGTGCGATATCGATAGCATGATAAGGTACTTCAAAAATGGAATTTTGCTGGATGACAAATTCACCCTTTATTGCAGTTTTATTTTTACAACATTCGAATTTATATAGAGAATTTATATTATAACTATAATATAACTAACAGGAGCAATATCGCTAATAACTCCACTGTTGATGCAACTCTTGCAAATAAATTCAATATTAAAAAAAGAACATTCGGAAGATCTAATTTTTCAGTAAATAAGAAGTATTTCTTATTGACTCATTCTTCCAAATTTTGGACTGACGCCACTTGACAACTAACAAGGCTCAATTGTGACAAAGCAACAAACAATTTCGCGCGTAATTTGAGTGGTATTAACCCTTTGCACTCGAGTGGCGACTCGAGGCGCTACTAAAATTGTTACATCACGTGCCAACATAATTTTTATCCATTCGTAGTTCAGGCTTAAAGAATTGTCAAAAGCGTAACTGTTACACGAGTCGCAAGACTTGATTTCGTACGCGTGAAATGCACTTTGCCATACAAAATGGAGACACAATAAGTTAGAAAAATTGATTTAGACTCATAGTTGAAACGGTTTCGAGCGCAAGGGTTTAAATGGCCAGTATCTTGCAGAGGTTGTTCGACGCCGAAAAAAGCCGGATCAGTGAAACCGTGTCGATGTAAATATTGTCCTTAAAATGAATGCCACGGATCGGACAGCAAATGCCCTAAAACATTCGTCTATTCTCTATGCTGACGACTGTGCGCCGGGAAATTCGTGGTTCCTCAAATGTTTGTTCTCTCTTCCAACGGCCGGCCGTTACACAAATCACGCGACCTATGCGACAGTTGGATTTTCGAGCTCTTTTGTAATCAACATAAATAGAATTGGTAACTAATGGAATTCGGTCGTAGAGTAATGACGTGTATTTGGTTTAACGCTAGATGCGAACGAAAAGCACGCGGGGTGATATTTTTTTCTCCGAGCTTGCGTGAGCGCTGCTGCTGTTTCTTCGATTGGAAGGTGTGACCGATAGTATCATCTATCTTTGGGTCAAGTTTCACGACGATACGATTCGCCGTTCGTATGCGGTTGCAGATTTATCCGACGTGACGAGTGATGCAAAAGTCTCGCGGTTTTTCGACACTAAATGTATCCGAGTATTAGAAGCATGTAATCGGTTCGTCTCATCTTATAAAAGTTGTAAGATTACGTTTACTTAGACTTTGTATAACTTTTATAATAATATATGCTCGAACAAAGAGTTGGTTCCATTTTGTTTTCCACGAAAGTAAACCGACAAACAAGCACAAAAATGTCAAAAATCCTGAACTGGAAAATTGAAAACCGGTTATTCAAACGGCGATGGTATATTTAGCGTTAAAAGAACAAACAGCTAATATCAAGTTTTTGTAAAATTAATCCTCGGCAAAAGCGGTTTTAAGATCGTTAAAATATTAGAAGAGGTCTAGCCCCGTGCACTTTGATTTTGTTCCACGAAGTAAAATATATCAGAGACAACATTTTGGAGAAATATTCTACAAAGACGATACAATAGCAAATACGAAAATTAATAACCTTCATCAATACGTGTCATTTACAAAACTGCGAATAAATGTTTAAACTTCCGTTGTTGTAGAAGCCCTTGCGCATGCATATAAAATAAAACACAATTTCGAATTTAATCAAGTTTGTACAGTTTAAAATTGTTGTTTGTTGATTCGGTGTGCTCGTGACACAAACTTGTATGAGCTTTAACGCTATAATTGCCACGCGACTACCTCAACAATTTCACAAAATTAAACTATTTTGTTTGATCAAATCGAAAAGTTAAGTTGTACGACACCGCTAGCTTTTTCAACACGTTTACCTCTTGCGGATCCTAATAGAATTAGCGAAGTGTAATAGATTAGCGTAAAAGTTGTAATTTTTATTACACCTTTTATTGTATAAATATTTAATGCATGTAAATATAAATAATTTAATGTACTTTGTATCGAAACAATTTTTTGTGCGCGAATAGACACCACTGCACTCGATTGTGACTCGAGTTCAATCGTTCAATTATTCCTAATTAGAACTCAATTACTACTAATATCTATAAACTTTTGGGCGTATCTCGTAATTTCACGCAAACTCCACATTTCTATAACTTTCAAAGTATGCGTTGCACGAAAAAGTTTTGTATACAAAAGTTACACGATTTATAGGGATACATCATATAGTGTACTTATTTTTTTTCTAAGTAGAGGCGTTTCGGGGATTTGATGTTCAACTTTGTTTTTTAAATAAATGGAACGCTGCATTTTGCACGCTAAAATATGGAAGAATGTCGAATTCTGAGTAAAAAAGTATTGGCCTCCATTAGTTCTAAATCTAATAACTAGCGAGTAATTTCACTTTATTACTTGAAAATTTTCTTCAGTTTCCGCTGAACTGCGGTATTCTGTGATTATTATTCTCGTTAGTTATTAAGATTACGACTAATGCAAGGTAATACTTTTTTACTCAGAATTCGACATTCTTCCATACTTTGGCGTACAAAATGTAGCGTTCCATTTAAAGAGAAAACAAACTTGACCTTCGAATCTTCGAAACACCTTCACCTAGAAAAAGAAATGAATGCACTACATAATGTAATCCTATAAACCGTGCAACTTTGGTATACATAACTTTTTCGTGCAACGCATACTTCGGAAGTTACAGAGGTATATTGAAGAGATATTGTATATACCTGTTCGTGCATTGGAAAAATTCCACCTAGGATAACGTCGCCATTGATCCGTATCAGCTTCGAACCGTCGTCGTGTCCTTTCCAGTTGTGGCATTCGCTCACAATGAGAGTGTACGATATCCATCTTAATATCTTCTCAGCGGTCATCTTGACCATTGAAGCTTAAAGTGCCTTTTAATTCTGAAACATAACGAAGAAACAACCTATATTAACATTATGCTAATATCGTGTAAACGTAATGATATTAATAGACTTTTAATGTTAACAGCTTGTACAGGGTTATCCAAGCTAGACTATAGGTAATTTTTTTTTTTTTAAGAAATAACAAACTATTTTGAATTTATTGTTTTTTTAAAAATGTAATTATCAAGTATCATCAATGACATTTATGTGTGAAAGACGATATTTGTCGAATGACCACCACCGACCACGTTTACGATTTCATTTCTAATGTCGCTTTTTTAGTTCATGAAATGTGGCTCGTTTGTTGGCATAAAAATCGCATCGCAGGTTAGAAAAAGAGAGAAAGTGACAAGAAACAAACATGACGTTTGTCAGATACCTTCATTGGATAACCCTATACAAATATATACTCAAAAATGCAACGGGAAAATAATGACGAAGGAAACCTATATTAATTAACCGACGTATTTCTGAAAACGTTGTTATCAACGTCTTGTTGTTGTTGTTATTATTATTATTATTATTGTTGTTGTTATTATTATTATTATTATTATTGTTATTATTATTATTATTATTATTATTATTATGTATTTAAAATATTGTTCAAATGATGTGAACTAGTTTTTTAAGGATACAAATATCTGATTTTCTTAGCTCCGAGTGTTTGAGAAATTAATAAAAATATTGCCCTTCCTAAAAATTTTGTTCTGTTCGATTAAAAATTAGGTAACAACCTAACACATGTGTACATAGAGATATCGATGTAAAATCTAAAATAATATGGAAGGCTTGAAACTTTGGCTGTGTCCTCTACGGCGCGGTTTCGATTAATAAAAATTTTCTAACGAAGAAATTGATTTTCAGGGAACTCTTTGTATCGAAGGGACGACGTCTCGCATTATATCGTTCAGTTTGGTGCGCGAAAAGTTCGCATCAGTCTCGAAAAATCTCTTATCTTTTTAGTCATCTCAAAGTTTCAAAGTAAACTCGTTTAACTTCGCAACGACTACGTTACTACGGAACTTGTGATCCGAGTGTTTCTAGAAGACCTTCGGCTTGTTATATGAGAAGCCACCAATTATGACTGCGTAGAAGTCTGCGAGAAAACCGTGGCGGTTTTCGCGATTTCTTGCAGGTGCTTCAGCTAACCCTGACTGATTTAGGGGATTACGGTTCTCACATTTTGCGCAACGAGTACGTTTTGCTTCGCCCAGCAACGAAAGAGAAACCATGAAAACTTGAAGTTCGGCGAGATATATTGTTGGCGAAACTTGTGAATAATTTGAGAGTGAACGCGACAAAAGAGAATTTGAACGAAGTAATTAAAACGAATAGAAGAAGAAACGATATTTTCGATCTATGTTTTGACCGAAAGATGCAATGTATGAAGAAGACAATTTGCTAGATCTTTTTCTACAAAATATCTGCATTTCTATAGACCTGAATTAATCGATGTTAAATGTTATAATTGTTCATTTGATCGAATCCTACGTTTTCTTTATTCAATACTTTTTCCTATGAATAAATTCCGACGAGTTTGCATGAATTTATAAAGTGAGAATACAGTTGTTCAAAACTTTACGTATCAACACAAACCAAGAAACTGTTGCATTTTTAGAAGCAATGTTAAGAGCTTGGTAGGAAATATTTGTTATCATTTTGAACATGATTGAACCATCTTTTCATAGATCAGTATCATAAAGCTCCATTCATGCAGCTTTTAAAACAAAACAACTTCCTTAAAGTGGAGCCAAACGATTTCAGTTTCTTCAGATGTTGGAAGAACTGGTTTAGTAGACAATGTATAAAAAGAAGATCACGCAGGAACTGTATCTTACACGAACGATCTTCCAACGCAGCGAAGCTCCCGAGTTCAAATCGTGTACACATTGAAGATAATTCCGGCATTTGCTGCCATTGTATTGTGCTTAATGCGTCGCTACGCCGGAGTTACATTAGTATTATCAAGTTGAATCGGAGAGATGATATCTCCAATGTCTGGGTCTTTACAGTTGTCAACGTTTAACGCTTCCCTAGGGTAGATGTTCCAGTTTCCGTGCCTGCCCCAATTTTCGCATGGATTCCCCCTGGATTAAAAACGTATAGAAAACGAAAAGTATTATACTGTAAATTTTCCCTAATTAACCCTCAGCTTGTACACAAAAATGAACAATTTGGGAAGAGAAGGTACGGTTATTCGAGCCTTGTAGCTCGTTTTTATATTTACCGATTAGCAACAATTATAAAAACCAGCCGCAAGGCTCGAATAATCGTATCGCCTCTTCCCAAATTGTCCATTTTTGCTTACAAGCTGAAGGACAATTGGGGAGATTTTACTGTATATAAATTGATGATCTATTTTCTTTATCATGTTTACCTATTAACATGTAAGATTCATATATTAAAATGTAACAAACATTTTTCAATCGATGCTACAGCAGTTCTGAGGAATTTAAGCAGTATGTTTTGTCAAAAATCGTAAGAAACCGTTGCCGAAGATTTTTGTATAAATTAATCATTAATGTGATTTACGTTGTACAAAACGCATATTATGTCGTAAAAGGCTTTCATTTAGTACTAACAAAAAGAAACACTAATCATGCAAATTTTTATACTTTCAATACAAATCCGGAAATAGGGTCAATGATGGTGGACATGTAGAAAGATAACAAATTACAGTGAAAATTACAATCGATAATTTATGGCATTAGCAATAATCTTGCTGGATGTTGGTCGTCGACCAATGCAGGACGTAAACCATAAGCTAACGATTTACCTTTATCGAACATTTAAGAAAATTAGATTGACCTTTAGATCTTCTATATTACCCTTCCCACAAGAAAGCAATTAATACCGTATGATGTAGCCCGTCCTATCAAATAACTTTTGTAGCAACACTTTTTTAATAACTATAACTCCTTCCGAGATATCCTGCTGTGCTCGCTTAAACAGGGTAGCTTGTATGATAAGAACACACACCCGAAGTGTTTCTATTATCGTGGTCTTAAAAATTGGCTCAGAATTTCAGAAGAAAATTGCCAATATCGTATCACATCAGAAATTTAAGATACTCGAGGGCGCTTCTTTGAAAAAGTATGTAGATCAAATGAGAAGGCGACATCGTGGTTTAATATTCTATAAAAAATAATCTATTTATAATAACGATCTATTGTCATACATTTTAAATATTTTTGTTATTTCTATCACGCTAATATAAAATAGTTCATATTATATTATTAATAGCTTATATTATTAATAGTTTATATTATTAATAGTTTATCTTAATAGTTTATATTAATAGTTTATTTAGTGGTCTAATATTCTAAAAAAAGTAATCTATTTATAATAACGATCTATTGTCATACATTTTAAATATTTTTGTTATTTCTATCAAGATGTGTATAAGAGACAGCTAAAAAAAGTAATCTATTTATAATAACGATCTATTGTCATACATTTTAAATATTTTTGTTATTTCTATCAAGATGTGTATAAGAGACAGCTAAAAAAAGTAATCTATTTATAATAACGATCTATTGTCATACATTTTAAATATTTTTGTTATTTCTATCAAGATGTGTATAAGAGACAGCTAAAAAAAGTAATCTATTTATAATAACGATCTATTGTCATACATTTTAAATATTTTTGTTATTTCTATCAAGATGTGTATAAGAGACAGCTAAAAAAAGTAATCTATTTATAATAACGATCTATTGTCATACATTTTAAATATTTTTGTTATTTCTATCAAGATGTGTATAAGAGACAGCTAAAAAAAGTAATCTATTTATAATAACGATCTATTGTCATACATTTTAAATATTTTTGTTATTTCTATCATGCTAATATAAAATAGTCTATATTATATTATTAATAGTTTGCATTATTAATAGTTTATATTATTAATAATTTATATTACTAATAGTTTATATTATTAATAATTTATACTATTAATAGTTTATATTATTAATAGTTTATCATTAATATAAAATAGTCGCACCTCGTGCGCCGTGAATCTTGTTGTTAAGGTCGATTTATTTTAGATATTGTTATATTATCGACAGATAATTCAGTACCTCTATTCTTGCGCGTAATACATAACTGACGCCAGATACAGAATACCTGCTTTTAGCAGCGACAAATTTATCGGAAATCAAGTTTTTCAAGTTATCTCCGATATTTATCATCTCAGGTCTTGAGCACGTACAGCTGTAAATGGCTAAAAGGTAAAGGAGCTAACCAGTTGTTTCAAGTGGGAGTGGACTCGGTGGAAGATGATCAGATTGGGAATAAAGGTTGACAATTGCAGACATTCATCGAGAAACGAGAGATAAGACCGAATGCTTCATAGTCAGGCATCGAACGAAAGTTTCGCGAAACGAATAAGATTGCAAGTTACAGAATCATTTTGATATAACCGGGTCAGCTTATAATCTTCTTCAGATGACAATTAAAAACGTTCTTGTTTGCCAATGATTTTTAGCGATTATCCTAACTCGAAACGTCGCACAATTGACCGAATCGCCAAAAAACACGAACTAAAATTAAATTTTCAACTTCGTAGGAAATTTACAAAAATTTAAACATAGGTTCTTGTATCCATGGACGAACTTTTGACATATGGCAAGCGTGTTGCCATATGTCATTCAACATTTTTTGGGGGACCTTCGCAAACCAAGAAAAATGTCAATTCTAGGTTTTTTGTCCAGCACGAAAACTCTACTCAGGATCCGAATCTGTAGCATTTCTGAAGAAGAAACGACTCGATAGAAGTGTCGGAACGATTTACATTTCGAGCAGACGGAGAAAATATTCATCGGCAACGCGTGCACGACGTTTCGCCGCCATGTGCTCCGCTGCTCGCTTCTCTCGGCTCAGCAGAGCCGAAGCTATGCGTAATCAACACCGATGGAGGAATTCAATGGAGCATCCACTTTGTGTAAATAATATTTGAATATCTTTTGGTACTTCATGTTCTGTCTTTTTTCATATAT